TCCAACTAGGAAGATGAAGGCGTCAACGGTCCTGATGCAATTGTTATCGTGCGACTCGATCTCGTTCAGGGACTGCGGATCCACGACGGTGAAGGAGCAGGGGTTCTCGCTGATTGGGCATTACAAGCCTAGGCTACCATGGGGCGTGACCTGAAATCAGATAGGAGTGCGCATCTGCAATTGGAGGAAATAGAGAACTTGAGTGCCATCTGCACTCTGCAAAGTAAAAGCAAAAGCTAAAAGAGAAAGATTATATTTTGCTTTTGTCGACGGATGCATGTTCCTATTTTTTTTAAAAGCCAGAGAAAAGCGAATGGACGATGTCGGAAAGGCTGTCCAAAGCAGCTGTCATTTTAGACTAAAGAGAAAACAAAAGCAGAAAGCAAAAGAGAAAAACAAAAGATTTTTCTATTATTATGATTTCTTCTGTCTACCAGGTGAAGAGACAGAGAGAAAGGCAGTGGGAACATAATAGAAAAAGAAAAAGAAAAAGATCATGATGTTACTAAAGAATTAAAAAAAAAAAAAAAAAAGGGAGACTGAAATTGGTATGCTTTTACTTTTGCCCGGCGATGCTTTCCATTAATTCTCTATGATTAAATGGATCAGGTGCATGCAAGCACATATGGGTTGATGACCTCCAAAGAAAGTGGTCGCGGAGCTCATGAGTGATGACCTCCAAAGATGCTTTTTACACGTGGACAGCAGAGACAGAGACAGAGACAGAGAGGAAGGTGCAGTGGAAAGCACAAGCAAAGCAAAGTAAAAGAGCAAAGCAGAAAGCATGGCTACCCTTTCAACATGAGATTTGCGGTGGAAAAGAGCAAAGCAGAAAATATGGCTACCCACTGAGATAATTACAAAAGAAAAGTAGAAAAGAAAGAGAAAAACAAAAGTAAGGAATAAACATTCTACCAGAATGATGTAATTTATTATCTTTCGGAGACATATGTATAAACCCCATCCGAGGGTAATATGTATAAACCCCATCAGAGGGTAAAAAAAAAAAAAAAAAAAAAAAAAAAAAAAAAAAAAGAACAACGACAAGCCCAAAATAAATGGGTTGGACTGGAATGTTGTGGAGGGCGAAGGCCCATAAGCCCAAAATCGCTCCAATCAAGCTATCAAAAGTACGCCCAGTACTTCAAATCATACATGAGCACTACTCATGTCATTCATACATAAACATTCATGAACATCACTCATGACAATCATACATAAACATTCATGACCATCATTCATGTCAACATTCATGAGCATCACTCATGCTAACATTCATGAGCATCACTCATGTCAATCAACATAAACATTCATGAGAATCACTCATGTCAATCAGCTTCAAAAGCTTAATTTACAGAGCTTTAGCTTCAAAAGCTTAATTTACAGAGCTTTAGCTTCAAAAGCTTAATTTACAGAGCTCTAGCTTCAAAGCTTCACTTGCAAAGCTTCACCTACAAAGCTTCAGTGCAGGGTATACAAATACCGCCTCCGAACAACCACCACTTCGGCCCATACATGGATTCAATTTGAAGTCTCCAGCCAACAGACTCTATTGACCGAAGACTTGGGGGACTACATTATGTACCATATATTGGGCCTCAACTGGGCCTCATGAAAAATACTTGGGGGACTCTAGCCCATTATTCATGTACTGAGGAGTGAACCCTTATTCTATAAAAGGGACTCCCTCACCTTCAAACGCCACAAGCCAAGCCAACCAAGGCAACATAAGCTACAAGCAAAACGGCCTCACAACATGTGCTACTTCTAGTTGAGCATCATTTCAGATTGGGCACCGCCTCATATCGAGCATCAGTTACTTCGGCCCACACATGGACTGAATTTCAAGTCTCCAGCCAAAAGACTCTCTTGACTGAAGACTTGGGGGACTACTGTTTATACCATATTTAGGGCCTCGTATATTTGGGCCTTGGGCCTTGTATTTGGGCCTCACACTAAAGCCCATACTTTGTAAAAGAGGAGGAGCCCCTTATTCTATAAAAGGGGACTCCTACCCTCATTCTGGGGGAGGCCTCACTCTCACTCTGGGAGGCCAATTCCTAAGCCTCTCACCCCCTCTCAAAGCTCTTCACTCACAGAGTTCCTTCTCTCACAAATACTCTCAGATAAATACATATACAGTGTGGACGTAGCCCAAACATTGGGGTGAACCACGATAAAATCCTTGTGTTCTTTGTGTTCTTCGTGTTCTTGAGCGTTTGTGCAGATTCACGGTCGGATTTACGTTGTACCAAGACCATCCGGTTTTGTGCATCAACAAATATCATTAGCAATGTATGAGTAAACTAGTAAGATAGACAAGTATTGGTAGTTTATCAGCTGCATAGTGCAATTAATGGTGAGGGGCATGATTGTTTTTGGTTGTCCAAAAAAAAAGAAAAATAATAAATTGCTGAATGCAAGGAACTGAAAAGGGAGAAATAATCATCGATCGTATCTGGCCGTAAAGCAAATTTATGTACAAGTACATTTGATTTGAAACTAGCTAGGGCCAGGGGAAGATCGGAGTATGAGTAGAGAGCATGTGCATGCTTCTGCAGACGAATGGTCATGTCACTCCCCCCCCCTAACATATAGCATATAACGCATTACCTATTTGGTGGTCCTTGCACTGGCAGAATTAGCAAGAAAATAAGAGAAATCACACGCACCATATACATTTTTCAAGTAAAAGTTGGCACTCCTCGTTTAAAGATGCACCCTTTGTGGATGGTGGGGCCTTTCCCTTCTTATCAATTCATACCAATTTTCATATCAAACTCTTTAAATATGAACAACTTTTTGTTTGTTTTCGTATTTGTCTCTACTTGAGTAAAATGGGTTTCAAGTTCAAAGTATTTCATTGCAAGGACAGTATATATTTGCATTGAGTTCAATATTTGATTGAATTAGTCTCACTGTAGTAGTTTAATTTTGTTGTGACATTGTGAGCTACGTAATGTTATCAATTCATAAATTACTAAGAGTAACATGAGTAGATTGATAACATTATATTAGTGTGAAGTGTGAAATTCACAAAAACATTCGCCAACCATATTTTGGCCATGAATTTATTAAGATATTTTAAGTTGCATAAATACCACGTTCCACATTTTATTGTGGAATGAACTGAATCATCCTAATTGAAATCCAAAACAATCTTTACAAAATTAAAAGAGAATCATCCTAATTGAAATCCAAACATCTTTACAAAATTCAAACATCTTTAATGACTCAATTAAAATGCCCTACTTTTGACTAAAGACACCTAAGTTTGACAATTCAATCTTTTTCATATAAGTTAAAGAATTTTTTTAGTCAAAATGGTCTTTGAGATTGATATAACTTTGCACTTTGGTCCATGAGATTTGAAATTGATAGAAGTGGTCTCTGAGTTTGTCCACCATCAATCATTTTGGTCATTCCGTGAGAAATCTCCATCAAATAAAGATATGACAAAATTACCCTCAATTTTTGTCAAATCATTTTGGCCTATTGTTTATTAAATTTAGAGTATTTTTGCCATTTTGGTCCTTATTTAATAAAAGTTTTCAAAGAATGACCAAAATGATTGATAGTAGACAAACTCAAGGATCACTTCTATCGATTTCAAATCAAAGAGATCAAGGAGTTAAGCCAATCTCAGAGATCATTTTGGCTAAAAAGCCTAAGTTAAAAATTAAAACTGCAAAACACAATTGCTTAAAGTATCCAAAAATGATTGTAAACACGAAATTTCCTACTACAAATAAAACAAGAACACGTGTATAGAACAAATTTTGTATTAAATAAATCTATGAGCAGAGTTGTTGATTCGAGGGTCGCAGTGACTTGTTCTCGAATCCATGAATGCCGCAAGGATTTGGCTTGAGGCAATATAGGAACTGACACGTGTGGTGGTGCTTGATGGTTCTCCACAAGTGTGGTGAAGAATGCAGAGAACTTTCTGAGTCTTCTAAGTGCATGTAGAGTGCTCCGGAGTTTGAGCGTTTGAGTGTGAGAATGTGTTTCTGAGGGAAGCCTTTCTTTGTTTTGGAGCCTCATATTTATAGGTGATGCAAGTCTTGATTAAGGCTTAAGTTGGTCTTGATTTTGGATTTGATTAATTGACGAAATAACCAACACTTGATTTGGACTTGGTTCGTTATTTGACTTCATAAAAAAAATCCTTGATTTAATCACATAATCTTTTATTTAAATCAAACAAATAAATCACATTTCATCCTTAATTTGGCATGATTTAGCCAATCTCCTCCGATTCGGCATTTCATTTGTTTTAAATTTAAATCAACTAATTTGTTTGATTTAAATTAAAATTAATTAAAGAATTATTAAAGAAAAATTCTTAATTCATTTTCGTCAAATGTCTACGTGCGTCAGTCTTGATTACTTGTTTTGATGAGTCACTTGCTATTGTACGATTTGTAAGACTGTCACGTAAACCCTAATATGTTGAAAATTAATGTGTTGGTGAGTATTTATTTCACCAAAGTTTACATATCTACAATGATATGAGATGATTAGCAAATTAAGGGGAAAAAGGGTAAGGCATTCAACCCACGTGGCCAAAGCTTTAAAAGATGAACTGGTTACCACCCGTGCATCTCTATGTGAAAGATATCACACGTAGAATTGTAGATGCCCTTTTTTCTTTGGTAAAAAATTGTTGTGGATACGCACTAAAACTGGTGATACGTGAATTACACTGAATTGCCTAGTACTTATAGTACTTACTGTTCTATCGGCTGGTCACTGTGTCTTTCCATCTTTCTCTCTCTCTGGAATCTTAGCCAAAATTTGTAGTAGTCAGTGGGAAGCAAGATTTTCTTTTACAGGAGGAGACGTGGGGTTGCTAAGGACTCAAGACTCAAGAAAAAGCTAAAGTAGGAGGAATTTAATTGAAGAAAATTAAAGAGGCCTCCCATTACCATTCATTTACGCACGTACGCAGTTTTCACCTTCTTTAGTCTACAATTACACACATATATATACACACACGCATATAGCTAGCTAGCAGGTTGACTCACAAAAACTAAAATATCGAACCAGATATATATTAGTGTCTCAGCTGTGTGTGATAGTGATTTTTCGTCATGGTGATGGCCAAAAACAAAAGATCATCAGTTGTGAAAGCAGGAAATGCACGGCCGAAGAAGAACTGGTGGAAGCCAGAAGAGGACTTGATTCTCAAACAATATGTGGAAACCCATGGTGAAGGCAACTGGGCAACTGTTTCCAAGCTTTCAGGTTCATTAGTTTATTACTTAGTTAATCATCAAACTAGCTCCCTATCTCTCTCTCTTTCTCAATCTCTCTCTCTCTCTCTCTCTCTCTCTCTCTCTCTCTCTCTCTCTCATAAACACAAGCATGTACACATGCATGCATGCAGGTCTGAAGAGGGGAGGAAAGAGCTGTAGGCTAAGATGGAAGAATTACCTGAGACCTAACATCAAACGCGGAGACATGTCCCAAGACGAGAAAGACCTCATCATCCGCATGCATAAGCTTCTTGGCAATCGGTATATAATTAATCGTCAACTAATCAGCATCATCACTTTAATTAATTCATCACTTAACCTAAATTAATTACTTCAGTTGTTTTGCTATAAAATATATACGTACATAGATGGTCACTGATTGCTGGTCGGCTTCCTGGCCGAACGGATAATGAAGTGAAGAACTACTGGAATACCCATTTGAACAAGAACACCAGCTGCTGCCCAGCTGGAGGCAAAAGAAAAGGTACCTCTATGACAGACTACTCAAACCATGACACCAATATCACCAAGAAGAAAAACAAAATCAATACGAGTAAGACTTCGAGCACTGCCACCGCTACTGCTGATAATCCGATGATCATCAGTAGTACTGTTCGAAGTCCAAAAGACACCAATTCTGATCATCATCATCAACATCACGAGGAGCCGAATGATGGACCCATATTTGCTACTACCAGTACTACAGAAGAGAGCTGCTTTTACTATGATGTGGACATAGAATCTCCAAGGGAGCTGCACTACTACATGCCTAGCTGCAGTTCAAAATTCAATCCGGCGTTTGCGTTTGATGATGAGCCTTTCATTGGCTACATGGACCCTTTTCTTTTATTTGATTAAAAAATCACTTGTATACTTTAGGAAGTGTACGTAGCAGCTGTTATATAGGTACTTTAAACCTCATAATAATTCAGAGCTAGCTAGCCTGCTCTAGTATCTAGTGCTTGTTTTTCTCAGCAATTGAAAAACTAACAATAGTCACCGACATTAGTTGTGCAGAATTGAGATCATGGATAGGCTTTTTAGCCACCTTGTTCGTACAATTAATACCCGTGATTATTATCAGGTTTTCTTTTGCATGAGTCTTAATGAATCATTGCACTATGATTGATAATGTTACACATGTTGATGTGATCATCTCTCTCTCTCCCTCCTTTTTTTTCGTAGACACAAGAAAGAACTTTTTGACGACAATCATGTCAATATGTCACTATCATAAAATTAATCACAAAATTAATCATGTATTGGCATGTGAGAAAATTAAATTGCATGACACTAATTAAATTACATGACACTCCCTAATCAATTAGAAACATCAGCATAATAGCATAATCTCATTGCATGTCAGTTTCTCTCACATTGAACACACGCATGATGACATGATTTAATTTCTTTTACACACGTTTATTAAGTTCACAGCTTTTTAGCCAAAATGGTTCCCGAGATTTGCATAACTCATCAATTTGGTCCTTGAGATTTGAAATGGATAGAATTGGTCCCTAAGTTTGTCTACAATTAATCATTTTGGTCATTCCGTGAAAAGTCTCTATAAAATAAGAATAAAATGATAAAAATACCCTCAATTTTGATCAAATCATTTTGGCCTATTGTTTATTAAATTGAAGGTAATTTTGTCATTTTGGTCCTTACTTAACACAATTTTTCACCAAACGACTAAAATGATTGATGATGGACAATCTCGGAGACCACTTCTATTGATTTCAAATCTTAGGGATCAAAGTGAAGAATTATGCAAATCTCAGAGACCATTTTGACTAAAAAGCCTTAAGTTCACACCCATGTCTCAGCAGAGTCGGATTTGCCCACGTCGATGTAATTTCTCTTATAAATCGACTTTCTCTAGCTCACCTATTAGCAAAAAAGAAGCCATGATCTTCTTTTGATTAGAGCAGTAAAAAGTCTAATATGGTACATAAAGTTGAATATATAAAACTTTTGTTAAATAAAAAAATACAGAATTGCTAAGAAGGTTGCTTGAACCGAAGGGGCTACATATTAATTAAGATTTTAAAGGATTTTAAAAGTGATAGATTTGATAGGATTAAAGATGATCAAAGACTCCTACAAAATTCATATGGATTTTTAAAGAATTTGAATGGCTGGTGGTGGAAGGATTTGAAATTCTAGGGGTGAGGTTGTATTCTTTTTAGTCTTGGTTATATATACTTTTGGCTCTCAAATCCCACAAAATCCACAACTTATTGAAATCCTCCAAAACCTTAGAGCCTGTTTAGTATTCTACTTGAATCCAACTTTTTAAACTCAAAAACAATTTTCAAGTTTTAGGCCTTAAAAACTTGTTTGGTAGGACTATTTTCAAAAACTAGACTCAAGACTTACTCAAAAATATAGTCTATTATCTAAAAACACAAAAAAGTAAGTTTTTAGAATTTTTAAACTTAAACTCACTCCTTTCTTTTCTCTCCCTCCTCCCCTCTCACTCCGAATCTATCTCTCTTTTCTTCTTTCTATCTCCCCCTTCTCTTTTTTTTGTTTAACATTTTTTGTCTCTCCTCCAATCCGTTCTCTTCATTCTTTCGATTATTTCTCTCACTCCTCTTCCTCTCTATCTCCTCCGATCTTCTCACTTCTTTCTCTTTCCTCCAATCATCTCTTACTTTCCTTCCTCCTCTCTCCTCTTTCTCTCTCGACCCCCTTTTTATGGATCTTTTTGTCTAGTTTTAGTTGTAAGATTTTAAAAATTTAAATCACATACCAAACAAGTTTTTGAGTTTAAAGAAAATTGTTTTCAAGAAAAATTCTTAAGAAATATTTTGAGAAATTATAAAAAAATTTAAATAGGATACCAAACAAGCCCTTAATTTTTTTAATACACTTAGATTTGGATGGATTTTAAAATCCTTTAAAATCTTTTAATTGACTACACCTAGATTATAAAGGATTCTAAAATCCTTTAATTGACTACACAGATTTGAATGGATTCTAAAATCCTTTAAAATCTTTTAATTGACTACACTAGGATTTTAAAGTCTTTTAAAATCCTCCCAAATCCGAATTTGACTACACCCCCTAAGTCATTATCGACTGAATAATAAGTATGCTATTTATAATAAACTAACTCTAACTTTAATACTAACGGGCTATGCTCAAATCCTAAACCTATAAGAAAACCAAAAAATAACCTAAATAGTATTATTTTCCAAGACGTAACTCAAAACTAGTCACTACCAACCACAAGTTAATCAGGTATTAAATTAAAAATTAAAAATTAAAAAAAAAAGGTGGCAAAAGATGTATGTATCATAAAATTGACATGATACATCATAAAAGACACGGTTGCCGGTAAACTGAGAAGCTTATTGTCTGCGAAAAGCAATTATTAGATTTCCAATATGTAGAAGTTTAAGGTCGATGAATCCTCCCTCGAATGGGAATTTACATTTACAATATGTCGTCTAGTTCTTGTTGAGGGTACAATAAAACATCATCAACGGGCAATGACGGTGGAGTTCCAGGCGGAATGGAAGCAGCACCATTCTCGCCGGCAAATATGCACAGAGCCTCCGCGTCCCTGACCACTGCATCAAGATCTATATGACTGCTCAGTTCATTAATGAACTTCAGTAGAGTGTCGAAGTCCATTTGCTCCCCAATTATCTTACTACGGTGTCGCTTCAATATCGCCACAGAGACATACAGGTGCAGATGCTCGGCCGGATAATGTGTCCATAATAACTCCCACAAGCGCATTGTTTTGTCGAATTCAAATTCCCTAGAAATAGATATGCGATGAAACTCTATCAGGAAAAGTGGAGTGAAAGAAATTTACAGTAACACTAATAATCAACTATATAGTAACTCTCACAAACATACAACCACGCATACATAAATGAATCAATATTAAGAACGGAGTGTGGAACCTGACCTTTTAAATTGTATTAGAACCCAGCGGAAACAAAAAAAGTAATTCAAGCAGTCCTTCTGAGTAAAGTGATTGTGCAACGGAGCGTCTAACAGCTCCACCAACTACAACAACAATGATTTAGAATGAATTAAGAACACACAACTACTATTTCGTCCTGGCAAAGCAATGTAAAGGTAGATAAGGGAGAGACCTTCATTATTGCAAAAAGTTGAGAGTGCATGCCACTTTGGTCACGGTTGAAATTTGGCCCAAGGCGCTCCATCAGTGAAACAAAACACCAAAACGATTCAGACTCATCCTCCATTACATACAAAATTGGGGACAGGAGATCACTCATACCCTGTAGGACAAAAGAAAGATACATCATACAATGATGGTACACAGCTATCACAACTGAACTGGGGCTACGAAGTTACATATTGAGGCAACTTACATTCAGAGTTGAGGTCATTATTTAAACATACTGTTCTCACTTTACAAACAAGACCACAACAGACAGGAAGGAGAAAGCTATATCCCAAATGAATATCATAACTACATATATGACAAATGTGTATAAACCACAGAGCTAATATGGTTACATATCGTGAGATAATCCCAAACCAAACTTTTATGTTAGCATGGTAAAATTGTATTTTACTTGAGCTTTATGTGTTTTGCTTAAACGTAAAGTAAATTTATGCAGCCAACTGCAGCAAGAATCTACTAAGCAGAAGAAGTAATCACCTGACAGTAACCAAGATCAAAGTTGTAAAATGAGTACGTTAAGAGTATATCGCGTAACAGATTCACATTTGGATTATCGTCCCCGTCATAGTAGGAGAGAGATCTGTCAGTCCTTACCTAAAGAAAATTACAACAGTTTCAGACTTAAAAACAGCAATAATTCATCACTGAAGTTGAAAGCTCAAAATAAATCCCGCAAGTTTCATGATACCACATCTTTCTCAATGAGGCCTTTTCTCTCCCTGAATTTTGTAAACCTTTTGGCCTGTTCCAGAGAGATACTCTGCAGAGGAAAATACAAATACATATCATAAGCCACCTAATCAAGCTCCTCAGGACAGTTGCATTTTTGTGCATGTTAGGGAGGGGGAGAGAGAGAGAGAGAGAGAATGTGTGTGTGTGTCTTAGACTCTTAGTGGAAATATACAATACTACTACTACCAACCTGCCATTGCTTCTTTACAGTTTCAAATTCTGACTTTTGAATGGCCCTAAGGTATTCCCTCTCAGCATCTGTTGAATCATATGCATGGTATCCTAACAAGAATGGCCAGACCTACAATCATAATTAAGAATACTGATGAGATAATGCATATTCAAACAAAGTACTTAGTCATAGTTTCCAACATACAACAGTATAGAAACCTCTTTCCGTAGTTTGTGCTCAACTCCCCCATAAAATATTCTCTTTCTGAAAGCTTCTGAGTTGACGATCCTTCCTTCAGAATCCATGAAGGTTTCCCACTGCAAAAATAAATGGAACTTACACAAACCCATATGACAACAGCAACACATTTCTAGCAGCTCCAGCTCTACCCAAAATGTTCTTTTTTATAAAAGTGAAAAATCATCACCTCATCAGAGCCCAAAGGTGGCTGTCGTGGATTTCCCCATTCCATTGATACTTTATCAAACTGCCAATTTGAACAAATATTCATAATACAATGGACCCGATAATTCGAAGGAAATTGTATGTTTGACTAAGCTTAAATTACATCTTAAAACCTTTTATCCACGAATTCTATTGGCAATTTGGCACCAAGCCAGAAAACTTCCTTGAGTTCATTTATAAATTGACAGCATTGATGGAAACAGTTTTTCCCAAAATGCATTAAGTAACTTGATAAAATGGAAGGTTTACCTCCAGGGAATCTGGGGGGACAGGACTTTTCTCAGGGACTCTATTTGAATGATGGGATGCCTTCTGAGGGTAATCAATGGGAGGCTGGTTATTACTTCTCCTTTCTATAGCACCATATCCGTTACTATGATTATCACGGAAAAGTTGAGAAGTTGTTTCTCGAGCAAATTTGGTCACAAGAGAGAACTTTTCCAACACTTGAATTGAGAGATCTCGTGCAGGATCATGAACCCCTTGCCTTTGCCTCTCACTGTATTGAGAAATGCTTATATTTCCTTCTTGATTGACATCCCCACTTGTTCTCTCCTGGTTTTGATCTGAAAAGGTCTCGCCAACTGAGACTGATGTAGATTGCCCACTTGC